TTGAACACCTCCAGATAAGAGACAGACAGTGACTAAGTGAAATCTGCATATCCCACCAGGCCTCCTTTACTCCTTTTTTAAAACAAGGCAAATAAGACCTATCTTTCAGGATTCTTGTAAAGATTAAATAAGATATAATGTGTAACTTGCCAAGCACTATGTCTGTTATATATTGGGTAATCAGTGATCATTATTTCATTTCTCTTTATTGTTTCCTGAATACTGAGCCCCAAACCTTACCCTCTCCCCAAATATAAAAACAAAACCTTGCCCCACCTTTACATTTTATGAATTTGTTCTGTAAATGAGGACGTACATTTTTAAAAAGAAAATCCTCCCACATTATTTTCTCAGTATTCCTCTTTCTCTCTCTTCCCCTTACCCACCTCTCCCTTTTTTGATTTCTAAATGTTGTAACATGAGCAGATAGCGTCTGTGCCTATTCTCTCCTCTTTAAATGTGGAAATATCTGGGATGAAAAATGTTCTCTTGCTCCAGTGATGGGTGGCTCTCAAGTCCGCATGAAATGATCAGGAGACTAGAAGGATCAAGCACACTGAGTGATGAGGACCCAACCAGAGTCTCAGAGACCTTTGTGTCGATGTAAAGTGATTCAAATAAGCTGCATGTTATCTTGTTGAATACTCATGAAATTCAGCAACTCTGTGATGTATGCACCATTATATATGAAGAGATGAAGGCTTAAAAGACTGAGCAGCCAGTTTGATTTTCCACAGCTACTGAAGGCAGAGCTGAGATTCAAATGCTCACTGGTCTTTCAGTCCTTGGATATACATGCTCTTTCCTACCTCAAAGCCTTTGCTGTTCCTTCTGCCTGCAATGCTTTTCTCTGCTCTTGGCATGGCCACCTTCTGCTTATCCTTTGGGTCTCAGCTTAAATGCCACTTTCTCATAGAAGGCTTCTCTACCTGCCATACCTGTAACACCTACACACTCTCATTACATTCTTCTCTAATTTGGCCTCTTGCTTTATTCATAAAGATTACCATAATTTGTGTTTATTTTACTTACTCTCTCTCTCTAAATGGTAAACTCCAAATGTTCTGCATAGGAACAGAAATTTAGGAGCTGGTTTACAATGGAATATTCTCCCTAATCTCAACATATAGAGGACTGAAGTACTCATTGGATGAGTAGATGGATGGATGGGTAAATTTTATTTCAGATCTGCCTGATTCAAGTCCATCCACTTACTTAGCTCCCAATTCTAGAATAATAAGGTTAAGAATGAAAGTGCTCCTGAGTCTAAACTGACCTCCGTGACCACATTTAACTGTTTCGTCAGTTACTGAGTCTATAGGGGGAAAAATTACAATTTTTACAAAATGCCAAAGAAAAGCGATCAATGACTGCTGAGCATTTAAGGTTGACTAATATTCATTTATCAGAATTTCTGAGCACCTACTTATGTCAAGCGCTGTACCTGGTATAAAGTCCTCATTACAATTTGTTTTTAATGGCAACTGCCAGTGTTTACTGTATGCAGTGATGTTTTGAGGATGATCTTAGTATGAATTAAACCTTTATCTGAATGATTAGGAAGAAAAATTTCAAAGTCAAGTCTTCATGTAAGCAGTAGTTCCAGCTGCATTTTATGGTAATATTAACTCATTACATGGGATTGTGGGAGAAAATCTCCACTAGAATGAGTTCCCAAGCCTGACCTTGAAGCACCCATCTTACTTCTAGCCTCATTAGTAACTTTTACGATCTCAGGAGAGGGAACACATGTTAGGGTAATAAAAACATTAAAAGAGGGGATGAGCTACAAAACCTAGCAGTAGACTTGCAGCCTCCAAAAATAACACCAGCACACACCTCCCTCCCACGCACATGCCCAGCCATGGCTCTGAGTGAACACCACCTCATCTCTTACACTCACGCATTCCAGGCATGTTCCAGAAAGGGTCATCAAGAGGAAGGAAACACTGTAATTCTTTCAGCCGCAGTTCAATCCAGCCCCATTTCTAGGGCCAGTCGAGAGTCTTGCCAAAACCCACAGGATCTGCTCTGAACTCACAGCACTGGCAGTGGCCATGGTTTATTTAATGACTTTAGGAAATAATAGAAAATGCAGTTGATTTGAAAAGACAACCACACTGTATATAAATTGTTTCTAGGTATGGATCTAGTTTCTTTTTCCTCTTGCTCCTTTCAGAGATCTCCCTTTACTTTCAGTGATGGAAAAGGAAATTGTAGACTCTGGGAGTCCAGGTTTGGCTATACTTGGCTACCCTTGTTCAGCATGCTAGTTAAAGAGGCCCTCTTCCACCAGCGAGTGCTCTGTCCTTTGTAGCACCATTTACGGTATCAGAAGGCTTTTTTAAAATTGTACTTTAGATTCTGGGGTACATGTGCAGATCATGCAGGATTGTTGCATAGGTGTATATATGGCAAGGTGGTTTGCTGCCTCCATCCCCCATCACCTATTTCTGGCATTTCTCCTTATGTTATCCCTCCCCAACCCCCCGCTGTCCCTCCCTTAGCATCCCCCAACAGATCCCAGAGTGTGATGCTCCTCTCCCTGTGCTCATGTGTACTCATTGTTCAACATCCGCCTATGAGCAAGAACATGTGGCATTTGATTTTATGTTCTTGTGTCAGTTTGCTAAAATAAAGTGCTGGGATTATCCCTATACCCATTCCAAATCTCAAATTACATACAAATAATGCATCTTTCTCTTTCTCTCTTCTTTCTAACAGGAAATTTCTCTCTTTCTCTCTCATAGGAAATGTGATGTGATCTCACAATGCTGGGGGGCGGGGAAAGGAGTTAAAACTTAATGCTGAGGGAAAAAGAAAAGCCAAACTTAGCCTTTTAGAAAGAACAGAGCAGAGGCCCCATGACGATGAGTCCAGCTGTGGCCGGTGGCTTCTTGTAAGAGTTCTGCTGCCGACACCAGGAAAGGCATGGCTGCAACTGCGTATCTGGTACCACTCAGAAAATCTGCTATTAAGGACATTTCCTGAGACTCACTGCCAGAAGCCAGATCCTGTCTAGGCTCATACCAATATCAATCTCTCTGCTTAATACCGTTTCTTACATTATAGCACTATCCTCTCCAAAACCTGCTGGGAACAGATAGTGAGTTGTTTCATCACAACCCTATCTAAAGGGCTCTGATCAAATTCATTAATAGTTTAATTCGTACTTCTATCATGAAGGCTAACAATTTACTATAAACAAGATGCAAATTGAATATCATATATCTTACATGTTTTAGAGATTAATGCTATTTTTCCTTAACAAAAATCTCTCAAACACTTTTTTTTTCTTTTTCTTTTCTTCTTTTTTGTTTTTTTGAGACAGAGTCTTGCCCTGTCACCCAGGCTGGAGTGCAATGGCATGATCTTGACTCACTGCAACTTCTGCCTCCCAGGTTCAAACGAATGTCCTGCCTCAGCCTCCCAAGTAGCTGGGATTACAGGTGCCCACCACAATGCCCAGCTAATTTTAAAAAATTATTATTTTTAGTAGAGATGGGGTTTCGCCATGTTGGCCACGCTGGTCTTGAACTCCTGACCTCGTGATCTGCCTGCCTCAGCCTGCCAAAGTGCTGGGATCACAGGAGTGAGCCACTGCGCCCAGCCTCAAATACTTTTCAATGTTTACATAAAAATGTGTCCGTGTTTATAAGGAAATACTTGCCACTGAGGCATGACGTCTGCCAAGTTAATAACCAAGCATCACAATTGAAGCATAACAATGCTCTAAAATGTTTTGCTCACTGTATTTTCTGTGTGCTAAGTAGAACTGTATCTAATATTTCTTAGTAGCGTCTTCTCACTAAATCTTATTGTAGTGAACTCAAAATGTTGTTTAACTCTACTTTTTATATTTACATTTTCTTTATTCAGTATTGCTATGAATAATGGGCCATTAACTAAGACATGGGATTTTTTTTTTACTATACCTTAAGTTCTGGGGTACATGTGCAGATCTTGCAGGATTGTTACATAGGTATACACATGCCATGGTGGTTGGCTGCATCCATCCCCTCATCATCTACATTAGGTATTTCTCCTAATGTTATCCCTCCCCAATCCTCCCACCCCCTGCTACCCCTCCCCTAGCCCCCCACCCCTCAACAGGCCCTGGTGTGTAATGTTCCCCTCCCTGTGTCCATGTGTTCTCATTGATCAAGTCCCACAAATGAGTGAGAACATACAGTGTTTGGTTTTCTGTTCTTGTGTCAGTTTGCTGAGAATGATGGTTTCCAGATTCATCCATGTCCCTACAAAGGACAAGAACTCATCCTTTTTTATGGCTGCATAGTACTCCATGGTGTATATGTGCCACATTTTCTTTATCCAGTCTATCATTGACGGACATTTGGGTTGGTTCCCAGTCTTTGCTATTGTAAACAGTGCCGCAAGGTACATAGGTGTGGATGTGTCTTTATAACAGAAGGATTTATAATCCTTTTGGTATATACTCAGTAATGGGATTGCTTTGTCAAACAGTATTTCTATTTCTGGATCCTTGAGGAATCGCCACACTGTCTTCCACAATGGCTGAACTAATTTACACTCCAACCAATGGTGTAAAAGTGTTCCTATTTCTCCACATCCTCTCCAGCATTTGTGGTCTCCTGATTTTTTAATGATTGCCATTCTAACTGGTGTGAGATAGTATCTCAATGTGGTTTTGATTTGCATTTCTCTAATGACCAGTGATGATGAGGTTTTTTTCATGTTTGTTGGCTGCATAAATGTCTTCTTTTAAAAAGTGTCTGTTCATATCCTTCACCCACTTTCTGATGGGGTTGCTTTTTTCTTACACATTTGTTTAAGTTTTTTGTAGATTCTGGATATTAGCCCTTTGTCTGATGATTAGATTGCAAAATTTTTCCCACTCTAATGATAGTTTCTTTTGCTGTGCAGAAACTCTTAAGTTTAATTAGATCAACATGGGAATATTTTTATTTAAAAATAGTTATAGAAATGATTGTGGGCCTGAATCGATACCCACACACTTCCCAGTCTGGAGATGAGATGACATCTCTGTCAGAGTATGTTTCTCGCATGAAGGAGACACAGAAGTCCATCTTTTTACATCACTGGTGAGAGCAAAGAGCAGGTGGCCAACTCAGCTTTTGTGGCGCGAGTGCGGAAGCGGGGCTTTGAGGTGGTATATATGACTGAGCCCATTGACGAATACTGTGTGCAGCAGCTAAAGGAGTTTGATGGGAAGAGCCTGGTCTCAGTTACCAAGGAGGGTCTGGAGCTACCAGAGGATGAGGAGGAGAAGAAGAAAATGGAAGAGAGCAAGGCAAAGTTTGAGAACCTCTGCAAGCTCATGAAAGAAATCTTAGATAAGTAAGTTGAGAAGGTGACAATCTCCAATAGGCTTGTATCCTCACCCTGCTGTATTGTGACAAGCACCTACGGCTGGACAGCCAATATGGAGCAGATCATGAAAGCCCAGGCAGTTCGGGACAACTCCACCATGGGCTACATGATGGCCAAAAAGCACCTGGAGATAAACCCTGACCACCCTATTGTGGAGATGCTGCGGCAGAAGGCTGAGGCAGACAAGAATGACAAGGCAGTTAAGGACCTTGTGGTGCTGCTGTTTGAAACCGCCCTGCTCTCTTCTGGCTTTTCCCTTGAGGATCCCCAGACCCACTCCAACCGCATCTACCGCATGATCAAGTTAGGTCTAGGTACTGATGAAGATGAAGTGGCAGCAGAGGAACCCAGTGCTGCAGTTCCTGATGAGATCCCTCCTCTTGAGGGTGATGAGGATGCGTCTCGCATGGAAGAAGTAGGTTAGGAGTTCATAGGTGGAAAACTGCCCTTGTATAGTGTCCCCATGGCTCCCCCTGCAGCCTTGAGTGCCCCTCTCCCACCTGGCTCCCCCTGCTGATGTCTGGTGTTTTTCTGTCCTGTCCTTCGGTTGAAGGCAGGAAACAAGGGTGTCAAGCCCCCATTCTTTCCCTACTCTGACAGCAGGATTGGATGTTGTGTATTGTGGTTTTTTATTTTGTTTGTTCATTTTGTTCTGAAATTAAAGTATGCAAAATAAAGAATATGCTGTTTTTATACAATAAATAAATAAATAAATAAATAAGAAATTAGAGAAAACGCCATGTTAAACTGCATTTAAAAGAACTGTTGGCCGGGCGCGGTGGCTCAAGCCTGTAATCCCAAAACTTTGGGAGGCCGAGGTGCATGGATCATGAGGTCAAGAGATCGAGACCATCCTGGTCAACATGGTGAAACCCCGTCTCTACTAAAAATACGAAAAATTAGCTGGGCGTGGTGGCGCGTGCCTGTAATCCCAGCTACTCGGGAGGCTGAGGCAGGAGAATTGCCTGAACCCAGGAGACGGAGGTTGCGGTGAGCCGAGATTGCGCCATTGCACTCCAGCCTGGGTAACAAGAGTGAAACTCTGTCTCAAAAAAAAAAAAAAAAAAAAAAAGAACTGTTATTTCTCTTTTTCTAAAAAGGTGCTTCAGAAGTTTCTGAGAGTGGGAGAGGTGAAATCAACAGAAAGGGCTCCAGACCCACACTCTCACCCACTCCCAGAGAGCTGCTCAACTTTCCTTTTTAAAAAAAAAAAAATATATATATATATATATTTGGGCTTCATAGAAGATTTTATTGGAAGGAAAAACATTTTGCTTAATTAAAAACATAAAACCTCAAAGGTCATCAATTTTCACTTTTTCACAGATGAAGGGAATAAAGGTTAAACATATCAATGAAAATACACTCTACTGCAGCACAACATGCTTGCTCCAATTAGCCTTCTTTCCCCCACATTCAAGTTTAGATACAGCTCCAGATAATCAAGTTCTGATTTACCCAGCTCCCTGATCTTCAAAGTGTTGGCAAGCTAGGAGAAAATTTTACGGAGGTTAAATTATTGCTTTGCAAGCGTATTCCCTTATGTTTCTTATTACCTCAGAATTGTAGTATTGGGTGGAATTCTGCTAATGTGTGTTTGGAATAATGCATCATGTCTTCAGAACAACTAACTGTATGGGTTTTTCGGAAATTTGGTATTAGCTATGTTTAGAAATTTTCAAAGGTGTTCATGGTCTTCTCATCTTTGTAACAGAAGTAGATATCTTAAAGTTCTAAATATCTGAAATACCGATTAGCACTTCCTTAGCTAACTGCATTTCAGAAATCAGAGAAATGGCAATGAACTGAAAAGGTCTAGCCAAAAGCATTTCTGGAATTAAGGCCGTGGCAATGAGCCGAAGAAGCAAAGACAATTCCCAAACTATCCAGGATATTTTGCAAATTGTTTGGATTTTACTTTAGGTTTATTTGTTTTTTGTTTTTGCTATCCTGAAAAAGAAAAATTTTCTTCAGTTCAAAAAACACTCATTAACTTGCTTACATGTCCATTCATTCATTTACCAAGCAGACTTATCACATGCCTCCCCTGTGCCAAGTACTGCACTCAGCCCTGGAGACACAGCAATGAATAAACAAGCTCTGTGGGAGACAGACATGGAAAACTAATCACATAAACACAAAAATACAGACAGGTACTAAGAGAGATTTACAAGATGCTTATGAGACAGCATAATGGTAAACTGTATCCAGCTTGACTGTTGTGGAGGAGGGTTTGTGGACTTCTGGCCTAAAAGAGTCGGAGTTAGCCAGGCTAAGCAACAGAGATGTGAGAAGATAATCAGAAAAATCTTCCCCAAAATGGTAACTGCTGAGCAAGGTTTTTTAAAAATGGGTGTTTAGTAGGACTCACTTCTAGAATGTTCTTTCTTTAGCTTGAAGTTGGTATTCATTTCTTTGTGTTGGGCCCTAAGAACTATCAGCACTATTCCTCTGTGTCAACCCCTATGTTAAAGTATTTTCATATCTTTTCTGCCTTCTTGTTTCCCCTGAAGAAATCCAGTTTCCAGGCATGTTTCCAAGACTTTAATCCTTTTTTATTCTCCATCATCCTTTTGTGTATACAGTAAGTCTCTGAGTAATAACGTCTTCCTCAAGATTCCTTCCAAGAAGATGTTGGGCAACTAACAAGAAGATACCAAAATGTGCAAGACTGGAAATAACTAAAGGAAGTTGCTAACATTTTTATTGTATAGCTAGGAGTTCAGAGTTATACGGGGGCATTCTGGATGTGACTGGGCTGTGTCTGTCTAACAACAAACTCCTGTTCTCACCCAGGAGTTGTGCCAAGCCAGTTTCCCCAAAGGGCATGCCCGTTTCCCATCTCTGCTTTCCAGCCTAATGGGACCCTTGTCAGTCTGCTGGAGGGAATGGCATCCTCTCCCCACCTTCAAATGCCAGACATTTTCCATCTAGGCCAAATAACACATGTTTTAGTTAGAATTAGGATCAGTCAGTTGGCAGGAAACTTTTTATTTCCAGGGAATAGACAGAGCACCCACACAATGAGACTGTATTGAACATTCATTTACATGCATACTCCATTCTATGAGGCAGCGGCGGGTGGAGGAAGCATGGTTCCATCAAATAAAGGATTGTTTACACTGGAAGAGGTTTTAGAGATTGCTTGGTGCAAACTTCACACTTTATTTTTTTGAGACAGTGTCTCTCTCTGTCACCCAGGCTGGAGTGCAGTGGCGTAATCACAGCTCACTGCAGCCTCGAACTCATGGGCTTAAGCTATCCCACCTCAGCCTCCTGAATAGCCAGGACTACAGGCATGCACCACCCCTCCCCCAGCTAATCTTTAAAATTCTTGTAAAGATGGAGTCTCACCGTGTTGCCTAGTCTGGGCTCAACTGAAGCCCCTGCCTTGGCTTCCCAAAATGCTGGGATTACAGGCATAAGCCAACACTCCTAGCCAAGCCTTACAATTTATAACAGGCAATCTGAGGCCTATAGAAAAGAGATTGGTTGGTGATCGTACAAAAGGTAGTGGTAGAGCCAGCCCTCAGGTGCTGATTTCTCTCCAGGGCCCCTTCTGTCACCCCAGAGTAGCAATGTTAACAGCCAAGTCCTTAGTGTGAGGAAATTTGGAATGCATACAAATCTGGCAGGGTAGCACCTGGAGAATCCTGGAGTTTGGTAGAAACTTGGGTAAGAGAAAAAAGACTTTGAGGAGACGTGGCTAAAAAGAATGGGTACAGGACAGAGAAATAGAATATCCAGAGAGGAGTTTTGGCCATCTTACCAATTCCCCTGAGCCTGGCAGTGCTGCCTCATAATCTTCCCTATTAACTGTATCTCAAGAGAGGGACACTTTCTAAACGGACCATGTTCATCCAGTACCAGGATATCTCGTATGGGAGAAATGCATCTTTGGAACCAGGTCACCTTCTTTTTCTAGGCTCTTCTCCTGATTCAGTTACCTGCCAAGTTCCCATCTACCCTTATGCCGCTCAAAGACTTGCATACCCACAACCACAACCACTACCAAGCATATCAATATTCCAAGACGGCACTGAACTAAACTCTTTGTCTCCACCACAGTGCCCTGTTGTTCGGCTCCCAACAGAGAAGGTAATTTGATTGATTTGCCTGCACAAAGAGGAGAATAAGCAAGAATCGCTCCAAGTGACAATTCACTGACAACTATTGGAGAAGCAAACCAAAGAAATTAGTTTATGATGGAATAAACTCACAATTATGATATTTGCTAAGAGGAGACTGACAAAAGAAGTCACCAAGCCTTCCCGGCAGGCCTGAGATAATACCATGTAGAAAAGGAAGCTGACAATTTTTATGATATAACACATAATAAACACAATGCTAACTGCTTTACAAACATTGTTCACTTGAATTCCCACACTATTGAAGGAAGGCATTTACACTCAATTTTATAGGTTAAAAAACCCTGAAATTCAGGAATGTTTAAGGATATGCCCAAGGTCACTTAAGTAGAAAGAGAATTTGAACCCGTGTCTCATTGATAGTAAGTTCCATTACTACCTACCTACCATGTTTTAGTCTAAACACCATCAAAAAGTCAATTATGCCCATCATTGTATCTCTAACAATTAGCACAATGCCTGGTACATAACAGGTACTCCATACATATTGATGAATGAATAAATAGTTAAATAAATGAGTGGGTGAGTCTGGCCTTTATTGAATAAATTTATTCAATAAAGTTAATTATTACTATGGGGTGGGCTCCGTGCTGCTTTCTGTGGGTCAAGAAAATAATAAAAAATAAAATACGGTTTCTGCCTTCAAAAAGCTTACAGTCTGGCCATCCAATGTCATGAAGAATAAAAACACTGATAGATTTGATCACAGAAAAAGCCAAAACCTCCTACACATCAAAAGATTATTACATAAATGAAGTAGGAAAATACTGTTACATGTAAAACTTAAGGAGTTAATATGTGTAACATATAAAGAAATTTCATAAGTCAATGAACCAATAGCAATTCACAGAGGAGGAAACACAAATAGCCAACTGCAGTCAATTGAAGAATAGTTTGCATTTCATTCCATCAAGAAGTGGAGTCTCTTTCTCCATCTCTTGAATATGGGCTTGTCAATGGGACTTCTTTTGCTCAATGCAGCATTAGTCAATTTGACATAAACAGAGGCTTGAAAAGTGCTTGCCCACTGGGCTTTCACTCTCTTGCTGCTCTACAGAACCCTGAGACCATGATGAGAAGCCCAGACTAACCTGCTAGAGGAAACACCAATTCAGCTCAGGCCAAAGAGTTTCCCAGATGACCTACAGAAGCATAAGTCATAATAAATGTTTGCTGTTTTACCATTATGTTTTGGATGCCTTGTTGCTCATCAAAAGCTGATACGTATACTCATAACATGTGAAAAGATGAAAAAAATGTTTAACCTGACCACAAATCTCAAAATACAAACTAAAAAGACATCTCATTATTTGTCTCTCAGATTATCAAAGAATGGAGAACATCATAATATCTGGTGCTGCCTGTTAAGTAGAAACATCTATATTGTTGATGGGCAGTGTAATTAGTAAAACATGTTTATAGGATGTGCTTGCAATATCTACAATAATTGAAAAATTATGTAAAAGCTAACCCTAATTCATAACTAATTATGTGTCAAGTACTACTCTCAGTGTGTCACACATAATTAACTCAATCCTCATAGCAATCTA